TCCATTACTATTATGCCGCTTATGAGTATGGTAAACGGTGTTTCCCTCTGCCCCTCTTGTCTTCAGTCAGTCTTGTGAGTATCAGTTTTTCCAATTCCTCTTTTCTCATCATGTGCACTAGAAATATCATGTCTTCCTAATGTTTAGTCTAAGTTTCTTTTTGCCTGTTTTCTCTAAATGTTTTTCGTTGCTTACATGTTCGGTCCATGGTATCCTCATCATGTTTCTTTGGGTCCTGTCACTGCATCTAACCAAATCCTTTATCCACTGTGACATGTTGACGACACATGGCACAGTGAGTTCAGTACCCGGTTAAGGCAGTGGAGAACGTTCAGAGGGAAATTAACAGGAGATAACTGATAACTGACATCCATTAAACATGGCACGTGGAACTAGAACAGTCTACCTCAGTGAGCGAAATAAGTAGGGCTAAGTTCGGCATTCCAACCACCTGAAGAAGGCCGGAGCGTACAACGGCCGAAACATTGTAATAAATATGGCGACAAAGATGAGGACAATAGTCTGAATAATGTAAATAATGCACATAATACCTCATCCCAGAAATATAGACATATACTGAAAGGCCGAAACGTTGTAATAAATATGGCGACAAAGATGAGGACAATAGTCCAAATAATGTAAATAGTGTACATAATTCCTCATCTCAGAAATATCGACAGATACTGAAAGGCCGAAACGTTGTAATAAATATGGCGACAAAGATGAGGACAATAGTCCAAATAATGTAAATAATGTGCAATCGTTTGTAATTAAATGTTCCTCAAGTTCCGTTGATGTCACATTCTTGTATCTGGCATGATATCTATGTCTATTGAATCTTTTATCTAATTTTTCCGTTGTGCAACCCACATAAATCAAGTCATGTTTGGTACATTGGGTGGCGAATATTAAATGGAAATTTGTAGAATTACTGCTTTCCAAAGAAAGCAGCTTTCTCAAGACAAGCGACGTTTGCAAAAAGACTTGTAATTTTTTATGGATATTTTACATATTTATCTTTGTATGAAGTTGGAACTATGGTATTGAAATTCTGTATATATGGTAAAAACACTATCCGAACGATGTAACAAATACTGATGGAGTGACTATTCTGCTGAATATCCAAATCCTCAAAAACAGGAAAAGTGACCAGACATAGTCATTAAAGATTTCGAGAAAAAAACATGCCAACTAATTGATATGACTTACCCACAGGATTCCAATATTTCTAAAGAATTTCAAAACGGTCAAATTAGAAGGAACTGAAAAGCGAAGTAAGAAAAAAAATGTGAAAACTTAAAACTACGATTATCCTTATTTTGATAAGGGCATTGAGTTTCATAAAGAAGGTTACCAAAAATCATGTAAGTAAAATTCCTGGAGGCACCAGCATCTCAGGTACGAAAGATTACTTTGTGAGGAACCGCACATATCATTCGCAAAAGCCTATCCATCTAAACATTCCAAATATGTATAGATAACTCAGTATCTGTCTAATTTTCTGAGATGAGGTACACTATATACATATATATATATATATATATCCCAACATATTTATCACAACTCTATGGGTCCTGCACTGGATCTAACCAACGCCTTTAGGACACATGGCACAGTAGATAAAGGCGTTGGTTAGATCCAGTGATAGGACCCAAACAGTGTGAGTTCAATACCCGGTTAAGGCAGTGGAGAACTTTCAGAGCGAAATAAAGGATTCAGTTCGACATTCCAACCACCTGAAGAAGGCCGGAGCGTACAATGGCTGAAACGTTGTGATAAAAAATGAGGACAATAGTCCGAATAATGTAAACAGTGTAAAGATAATTCTTCTACGCTGGTGTTTTACTCGGGTGGGAACTTGCTAAAAGGATTTTTTTTTTACCTCAATGGGTGTCAATTTGATTATATTGGACATACCGTATAAAGAGTGGATTCAAGCAACATGGCTGGCTTTGGATCAAAACCAGCCAATCAGGGCAAGCTACGACGTTGACGTAATAACAGAGTATTCTCCGATTGGCGAACAGCCTTATTGATAAAAGCCAGCGTTTTATCCTTTGATTTAATATTCTGAGGCACGTTCAACGTTTCACTTAAGGATTTAGGAATCTTTATTTTTTAAGTGGCTTACGGCCATATTACGTTAAAATATCTGTTCTCGTACAATCAAAGAATTTAAGCAACGTCAAGGCTGGGCAGTACATAGATGGGTGACCGCTTGAGAATACCAGTTACTGTAGGAAACATCGGTTCTACTACGATCACCGTCGTTAAGCAACGTTAAGCCTGGTCAGTACCTAGATGAGGACAATAGTCCGAGTAATGTAAATAGTGAATAGATAACTCTCCTACGATGCTGTTTTTGCTCATAGACCCGGGAGGGAACTTAAAAATATGAATAAATATGTTTGTTTTGTTTTTTTAACTTTTACCTTAATAGATGTCAATCTAGATATAAAAAGGCAAATATGACTTCTGTTTTAAATAAGGCTAAAGATCATATGTTGTAAAGAGAGACTAAACAAGACTGACAAAGGACATCAAAAATATGATTAAATATTACACGTCCGATCAAGCGCCCTACACAAATGAAATTAGACAGAAGAATGTCTTTCCCTCACCTGATTTTCTATGTCGATTTCAAAAGCCTATCTGCATATATATACATAAGAGTAAAAAAAAAGGCGACAAAATGACGCATCCATTGCTGACCCTCATTTATCTTCATCAAACCAAATTCCCCAAGAGGTCCACCATATATGACTTTTTTTAAACAAGGCTGACAAAGTACATTTTTTTCTATATAATTATATAAATTAAACCTGCTTTTCGTCTCCCCCGCTGGTTAAAATCCAGACCTTCATAATTCTATTGCCCTAGTCGAGGCTGGCATCTCAGATAAAATGCCTGAGG